CCGCCGCCACGACCAGTCTGACGGGGCTCATGCTTATAACAGTAGCTTGGTGGAGTAGACTCATTTAAATCATTTGGATCATTTGGTTTTAGCCAGGTTTCAGTCAAGCAGGGTACATCAAAACTATTATCTGTGATTACAACAGCTCAAGCTTTAAAAATGTTTTTTGTTCGTTTATTTAACATTTTTCCCGTTTAATCACGATCAGGTTTTTTCTAGATCCTACATTAAAATAATATTTTGACCTCACTAATCGGGGAACAGACACAGTCTTTATAGATTTGACAACACAAGTACTTTTATCGTTTAAGTGGATAGAACAAAAGCCAACATAGCAGTTATTTGAGAATTGGCTTACTAGTAGCGTAACGCGTAACGTCCTGGAGATGTTGTCTGACAGGAGTTCCGCTCCGACTCTGCTGGGGTGCAGGCGCGAAAAAGACGCGGGAAGCGGTCCTGACATGATGATCGTCGTCGCGTGCGATGTGCGACGCACCGTCTCGATCAGGCTCTTGAAGTCCCTCTTCAGTGTCTCCGTCTGCCGCAGCTTGGTGTCGTTAACCCCGGTGTGAAGCATCGCTCCGGGGCTCTCGTCGCCCTTCAGGATCGCGGGTATCTGCGCAAAAACATTGAGAACACGACCACCAGGAAAACAGTGAGTGTGCTTCAGCTATCGTAGCACGGACGTGCCGGACGATGGAGTCTCTGACAATCACAGCGTCGCGTTCCGTCTCGCGGAGGGGAGCGAAGCGAAGCATTTCTGGGTGGAGATCTCGAAGACCGGAGGGGGAGAGGTCGTCACCCGGGGCCTGGCTCGCGTCTTCCGCTGCGGGTGCACGGGGCCTGTGCAGAGAAACACACGGAGTAGAGGTGGTGGGAGTGTTAATATTGCGCTGTATACTTACCCCGGACTTGTGAGCATCAGCCAGAGATGTTTCCAGCGCGGCTCTCCGCTCTCTCAGCTGGCTGCCTCTCCACCAGGTCACGGATCTGCATCTCCACGGCCTCTAGCTCGAGTTGCACCGGATGTAGCTCGAACGTGTCCTCACCTGCACTCAAAGGTAGACACACATCCACCATTAAAGCAAGTAAAACAATGGTAATGTGTGTGAATACAGTATTAGCAATGTAAGCGAGATTAGCGACAACCACGCTGGCGATGATAACAGGCTATAAGCTAATAGCAGACTCGGGAAATCAAAATAAAACTAGTGATAACAAGGCGCTCTGATTGTTTTTCTTGTAAAATA